CACAGATGTTAATTGAAATCTTGAGGAGGTCTTGAGAGTCTTTAGCAAGACGGAAAAGAGCACAGCGTCAGACAAGAGATCGCAGGCACGGCGACAGACGGCAGACAAGAAAAAAAGACTTCAGGCACGGCTGAAGAGAGGGACTGCCCAGGACGAACTCCCCCGACGGGCGACACAGGACCACCGACGAGACGGAAAAACGAAAGACGGCGTGGCCGGAAGTAAGGGGATCACACCCCTAAAATACAATGGAGGGCAATGAGGGCCCAACCCTGACATGGGCAGAACCCATGCAGGGCCGCAAACAAAATAACGTCCCGCGGGAGCCACAAAGCTCAATTAAGGTTATATTCGAATTTCAATAATTTTACTCATACGACATTCCCATCGGCAGGCTGGCCATCGAAGCATGGTATGGAGAGTCCCTCCCGTGGATGGATGTTCAAAGCACGCATGGACTCGACTTCAATGATCGCGAGCGTGTCGCGTCGCATTTGTGGTGTGAATAAATATATCGAAATAGGGAAGGGACGTCCACGCAAGTTTTGAGTCCGCATGTCATAAGTCCTTTTCATGCTAAGATTGCAAAAGAGGAACGATCTGCCGTCTGGGAATCAAAGTCTGAGAAGTAATTGTCGAAGGGGCCCCTTAGAGAAGTGCAGAGAAGTCACAGTCATCCTTGACCCATTGTTTAACCAAAAAAAATCTTTTCGTTTTCCCGAGATGGCCTCTCGGCGAACGGAATGCACACGGATTTAATTCCGGAACTCTCCGCCAGCAGGTAAAGAAACAAAATCATCAGAAAATTCAGACAATCGATTCTCGAACGAAAATTGAAGCTGACTCTCGAGGTCTCCTAGCAAGTAGGAGACCTAAGGAGCCTAATTGCTAGGAGCAGTCGAATGATCAAAAACCTGCCTGCCATATCGGCCCCCTAATACACCACAGTGAAAAGCAGGCAGGGGATTTTTTTGTGAACCTCTCGGTCGATCCTCATATCAACGCTCGTTCACCGAGTAAAGGGTATTTCGGAGAAAAACGACAAAATGTGCTCGAAATTGGGGCAAATAACTTTGACCCATGGTCTATTCCCGATTTTCCCGCCTTCAAGGCAAAATAGTGAAACATTCTCTGAAAGATCGATGAAGGAGAGCCTCTAGATTCCAGACTTTTAATTCAAACTGGAGGCCAGCAGGTCAAACATATAACGTGCGCGATCCTGACTGCAAGCTGGCAATTGCGAGCGGCAATTGCGTGTTTGTGTGTTGGTGACAGTTATACAGGCCAAACGCTTCGAGATGGGGATCCGATGATGCGCCTCTGTGATATGAAATTTACACGTCGGCCTCACGAAACGTGCGGGAGGCAAATTTCACGGAAAACCCCAGATTCGCTCCCGTCCTGCCATCTTTCGGATGGACGAGGAGACGAGAGTTGCCGTGGTGCTCAAAAGGGGTCGGTGGCATCGCTCATTCCAGTGCATCCAAAGACATATGCACAACTCTCAGCGGAGTACGTCCTCTGACATCTACGCGTGAAAAACCATGAAAAGATTCATTAACATTTCTATAGATACGAGTCGTCAGGAGTCGATGCAATACTCGCCATGATTTCTCCTCCCGAACCTTTGAATGAAATTGCACTTTCTGACGGAGATCGATTTTTCCCCTCAATGACCCCGTATCTTATACACGCTAGCCCCAGAATGCGTCTTAAGGTTCCTCTTGCGCAAAAATCATAAATTCTCGGCTTTTGGCTAAGCACGAATGTGACCGTGTGATCCGTCTCTGCACCTCCTTGGGGACCCCCAATAACAAATAATCCGGTTTTGAACGCAAACGGTCGATTTTTAATCCCTCTTCCACCTCAACCTGAGAGAACATTGCACATTTCTGAAGGCCTTGGCTCATCCACTGAAATCCGCTCATCCACTTTGGTTTTCTTTCTTGGAAGTCGAAATCTGAGTATTACCGGGTGGAAGAGGTACGCCATCAAGGTGAAAGGAGCTTACGAATCCGACGCATGGCTTGGCCCGCCCGGAGCACGACACGAGTCTGATGTCGACGAATGGCCTGTTTCTTACCACGGGACAGAATTCGAAAGCGCCAAGTCCATCGCTGTGGAGGGACACAAACTTTCAAAAGGGAAGCGATTTAAATATGGGAAAGGAATATAATATAGTCCACCCCTGTTCCCAGTATAGCAGAGACTTATGCAACAACTTCCGATCACGAGGACAAAACCTACAAGACCATGCTTCAAAACCGAATCAAAACCGATTAGGAGGAATCTAACTATATCAGCCGTAAGAACTTCTTCGGCACACCTGAAGAGGTGTGACTATTCGCTTGTATGGAATTCTCATTCGTGAAGTTGGAAGTTCCTGCTAGGTCGGGACATTGTACTGTTGCGTCACCCAATTGTGTAAACACCACGTCTTCCGGAAAAATAAATAAATGAACGATTTTCCATGGGGACCATAATAATCCCATTATATTATAATTTTTCACATGTAGCACAGGGTGGGCCAAAATAAAATATAGCTTTCATTTTTGGTCAGTCGTCATTCTGATTGTAGGCTGCCGATTCTGATGAAATTTAGTAAGCCCATGAGGTGACTCTATTGGGGTTCGTGTGCCAAATTTCAAGCAAAGGTTGGAAAAACTTTGATAATGCATGTCATTTACTTTTTATCATCAAAGAAGAAAGTCTTCGTTCTTACTTTAAGCTTACAATTCTTCACAACAGGCGAAGTAAACAAATATAATTCTTTTTCACAATTACCGAAAAAACGAAAGTACATTATTTGGTTTAACTAGGCTCATTTCAACTAAAAGGTTCCTCATTTCAGTTAAAATGTTGCTCATTTCAGTTAAAATGTTGCTCATTTCGACGAAAATGTTGCTAAATGTTCCTTCCATTATATTAAACACTAGCCGCTAGTCTGGGACGCCACAGTTCGGTCAATAAGTCTCAGTTCCTTGCCACAGGACGAGAAAAAGTGCGGACACCGGTGGAAAGCAGCAGGCCAACTATCAAACGCCGGCACCAAAAAATTAGTGTAGCAAGGGTATTTATCTCCAAAATCTGAATTTGTCTGAATTCAGGTCCCCAATAGGTATCATACTTATAATATCAAGCTTCACCTTACAATCTCAGGTCTATTCGGTAGAACTAAAAAAAATTATTTAAAAAATGTCACCGCGAAAGTAGCAATTCTCCTAGGCCATGCGTCTGAAACTTGACATTCTTCATGAACTGAGTGTCCCAGTAGGCATGAACATGCAAAATTTCAACTTCCCAAAGCTCTCCGTTATATATCATTAAGAATATCTCCCAAAAATGGGTGACCCAGGGCATGTAGCTCCAAAGTCGGATTTTTTCTAATCACTGCATCCCAAAATATACATTTGCATACCAAGTTTCAGATATCTAACTCTATTAGAGCATCCTTATAATCAGCATCAGCAGACACTCAGGCACGATCGTCTACAGTATATATATATATAAATATTACATACCTTCTCTTGAGAAAGGAAACGTGGCATCTAAAAAAAACCTGCTTATGATAAAGGAAAATGTTTCTTGATCTCCTGAGAACTGAATGAACCATAAGGATGCTAACCAACCACCTAGTAGCATTCTGGTGAGCACGAAAAAAAACACGGAAATGGAAACGATTGCATGGTCGTGAAAGCTATGGAGAGATAACAATTTCTCATTCACAGATTCTGTTCTGAAACATGCGACTCGAGTCCCAGGAAATGACTGAAAGACACAAAGAGAAAGCAGAAACAAATCACAATTTTCTTTTAATAAATTTTCTTTAGTTCTCTCCTTCATTGAATATGAAATGTTTCTGGGAAATTCACATCTTAGAAAACAATATGCTCTCAAGGGTTTTACCTAAAAATAAAATTTACGAAAATCAGTATTCGGAGACTATGTGTATACCAAGTTTCAACCATATACATTTGCTGTTTTTGCTGGTGCAAAAATATATATGGAGAAGCGGACACAGCCAAAACCTGTGCCCTGTAGGTATGTACCACAAAACTGACATTTTCTTTGAACTCAAAATCGCCTCAGTTATTGATATGCCAAGATTCACATTTCTATCTCAGTCAAATTCAGTGGACAAAAATGTTATTTGCAATCGTCACCCCCAAAAAATATGCCCCAGCGCACGTATGCAAAACTTGACATTTTTACAAAACTTCTAGACTCAGCAGGTGCGCCCATATCGCGTTTCAACTTTACATTTTTATCAATTTCACTGAAGCAAAAAGTATTTCGGAAGACCTCTAACCTGAAATTAGTGCCCCAAGGGTATTTAAAAAAGAACGGGTTTTAAATCGATTACCTGGTAAGACAATGGCCTGGTTCCCATCAAGGCGCATTATATATATAATCATATACTGTATATATGTATATATATGAAGTTTCACTTCTCACAATCTCCGGTCTATTCGGTAGAACTAAAAAAAAAGTATTAGAAAACGTCTCCCCCGAAAGTACGTATGTTCCGAGGCCATGCTTCTGAAACTTGACATTTTCTTTTGCCCCACGGCATGTAACTCCAAAGTCGGATTTCTTCTAATCTCTGCATCCCAAGAGATACATTTGTGTACCAAGTTTTAGATATCTAACTCTTCTAGAGCATCTTTATAATCAGCATCAGAAGACACTCAGGCACGATAGTCTATATATATTAGATATCTTCTCTTGAGGAAGGAAACGTAGCATCTAAAAAAAAACCTGCTTATGATGAAGGAAAATGGTCCTTGAACTCCTGAGAACTGAATGAACCATAAGGATGCTAAACAGCCTCCTAGTAGCATTCTGGTGAGCACAAAAAAAAAACGCGGAAAAGGAAACGATTGCTTGGGCGTGAAAGCTGTGGAAGAGATAACACTTTTTCATTTGCAGATTTTGTTCTGAAACATGGGACTCGAGTCCCAGGAAATGACTGAAAGACACGAAGAGAAAGCAGAAACAAATCACAAGTGTTCCAGGGACATATACGACGGTCTGTGATCTGAGGGGTGCAGTGGCACACATCTCCAGGTGATTTTCGGGATTCCCACGTTGATGAGCGGCACGGTCGCCTCTTTGTCGGGGCCGCTCTCGCCCGGCGAGCGAATGCCAAAAGGTTTTCTGCGGAGACACATTTTCACTCTCACTATGTGAAACTCAAAAGTCGAGGCGCGAGTCGAGGGAAATTCACTCCACGGACTTGCTTAGGGCGCACCCAAAAACTATCCCCAACAGCTGGAACGAATCAAAAAAATTCACATCGATCACTCCCTCCGCCAAAAAAACGCCAATGAGCAACAATGAGCAACATCGAGCAACATCGAGGAACGAACCGTAAGGACAGCGATGCCGATCCCAACGCCCCCGATGACAGTGCCGTGATCCTGGACGTAAGTCTCCAATTTATTCTTGCATCCTTCACTCCATGTGTAGCTCTCGTTATCCTCGCACTTCAATTTCTGCGAAAGCAAAATGGAGTGGGGGACATGACGATCAGCAAAGCCGCTTTGCAGTTTGAAATCTGCAAGCCACGAAGAAGACTCACATCGTTCCCTTCGACCCGACAGCAGCTGCTCGGGAAACGGCCCTTGAGTTTATCGTTCAATTTCCAGTCTTCCGCCTTGTCGATCCCGCAGCACTTGAACTTCAGAAAGGGATACGACAAAAAATGATGAAAGGCGTGCCTGAAAGTACATGCCATTTAATGAAGACGAAAGTCAACGTTTCTTCTACCTTTCTTTGCGCATCGTCCCAAGCAATCTTGATGGGGTCCGCCTTTTCGTCATCGTATTCCATCAAGGCCTTCTTCATGGCCCCATCGATGGACTCCTCCACCCTGCCCCGGAACACGTACCCCAAGATCCCAGCCACGAGCAAGACGACGAAGAGCAGGAAGAGAAGTGTGGAATACTGGCAGAGAACCAGAACGCAATGAGCGAGTGCATCCCATTTCATTCCTCGCTCCCTCCATCCCCCTTACAGTGAGCAGCATGCACTTGACTTCCTTGATCGCCCCGCAGCATCCCAGGAACGCAAGGAGCACGACGACAGCCCCCGTAACGATGAGGATGTACGCGGCGCTGAGGAAGAGCTGCGTCCCGAGGAGAGACTCGAGCCACCCCTGGTCCACCACCGTCGAGATCCCCAGTCCGAGCACCGCCACTCCTCCGAGCTGCATGCATTAACCGATGAAGCGCAAGTTCTCATCAAATTGCTTAATGTAGCAAAGTGAAAACCAATTTTCGAAGGTTTTGCCTTTCTTTAACCTCAACCCATCCCCCCCCACCTTCTCTATGGAACGTTATGCCAAGGTCTAGCCGAAGGACTGACATTGAGTCTACCAAGCCAAAGCCTGACTTTTTTCGTTCAAAGGAAACTCAATCCTCGGCCTACGAACCAATTAGGCCTATAAGGCGTCGAAGATGTGTATCGTCAGCCCAATCGCAGGTGTATTCAGTCTCTCATGGCGTACGTAATAGAGAACGTGTAACGTTAGACCGATTGTATGTGTTTTTCCTGTTTCGTGAGCCATTTCATTTCCTGTCAGAGAACATTAAGCCCATCCAGAGTTCCTCGAATCGTCTCGACTCCGCCGTATGTTAATTCAGGGATTTCCGGATGAGACTTCTCCGCATTCCACCTATTCCATCGGCCCGCGCAAACCACCGGTTCCATCTCGGCTCATCCCATGAATCCAGCACGATTATGTCTCCTACATTTAAAGGAGAAGTTCCCGGCAACGATGCTAAGGCCGAAGAAGTCACGAATCTGGCATACGTCGCGCTTAGCCTAAATTATCGGCTTCTGATGTTGATTTTCATGGAGAAATGGTGCGTTGGAAGGAAAAAAAAGACACATTTTTGTCTCCTACAGAACAATATCTTTCGTTCGGTTGGTCTCTTATCATCCATACACTTCCAAGGTCTCCAAAAAAAATAAAAATAAAAAGAAGGGAACGAAATCGACATCTCCCAAAAGCGCGATGGAGTGATCTCTACAACCCCGGGGAGATGGAGCTTCAAATTTGCTTTAGGCGATTCTGTGTTGAGAGAGGAAGAAGTATGCCAAAGTTTCGTTGCTCTTGATGCTCTCAGAGAGAACAACGAGCTTTTTTCTTTTTTCGTTCAATGAAACTGAATCCTCTGGCTACAGACCAATTCGGCCTATAAGGCGTCGAGGACGTGTAACGTTAGCCCGATCGTAGGCGTATTCAGCCTCTCATGGACATGTAATATAGAACGTGTTACGTTAGGCCGATTGTATGTCTTTTTCGAGTTTCATGATCCACTTCAGTTGCGGTCGGAGAACATTAAGCCAGAGTTCCTCGAATCGTCTCGACTCCATAGAATGTTAGTTTAGGGATTTCCGGCTGAGACTTCTCCGCATTCCACCAAATCCATCTGCCAGCGCAAACCACCGCTTCCATCTCGGCTCATCCAATGAATGAATGAATCACAATAATATCCAATAATCCCACATTAAAAGGGGAAGATCCCGGCAATGACGAAGAAGTCATGAATCTGGCATACGTCGCGCTTAGCCTAAATTATCGGCTTCTGATGTTGATTTTCATGGAGAAATGGTGCGTTGGAAGGAAAAAAAAGACACTTTTTTGTCACCTACAGGACAATATCTTTCGTTCGGTTGGTCTCTTATCCTCCATAAACTTCCAAGGTCTCCAAAAAAAAAAAACGATTTTTTTTTACGCATTTACAATAAAGGGCAAAAAGGATGTCAGCCATCTGGGATGCCAGACGCCAAGCGGTTTGTATTACGTGTCACTCGTTCGGGGAGCTTGCCACGCATCGCGCGTTCAGAATCATTCGGAGCCGGCGAGAATGCAAACGACAACTCGCCTCTCGAGAACTTTCGCCTCTCGCGAATGCTTAATAAACGATCGGGTCTGCCGGAGAATCGTTTGGGAAAAGAGGGAAACAAAAAAGGCGTAATCCTTTGATGCGTGATCATGAGATTATCCACCGAGGCTCTATGCCAGAGGACGAGAAAAAGTGCGGACACCGGTGGAAGGCAACGGGCCAACTACAAAACGCCTGCACCAAAATAAAAAATTTCTATACAGTAACCAAATGCAAACCAGGCATTTCGGCGGAAAATTTGAAGCCGTTCTCTCACGAGGATGGCGAAGTTGGAGAGGAAGAGACAATACTTCCTGCATTTCTCATAGGATTAGGCCTACCCTAAAATTAAGGAACGCTTGCCACGTGATCTCAAAATGGGTGTAATCGGCTCTTGATATCACTAAATACCTAGAACCATGAAGTTTCACCTTTCTATCGATATTTCTGTAGACTTAGGTAGGACGAAGAAAAGTTACTTTTAAACGTCACCCCTCCAGAAATATGCCCCCACGGCATGCATCTGAAACTTAACATTTTTCCTGTACTAAGTGCCTCAGTAGGCACGTCCATGACAAGTTCCAACCTTCCATAGCTCTCCGTTTGACTGGAGCAAATATGTATCATTGAAAATATCTCCAACAAAATGGGTGAACCCAGAGCATATCCCTAAAAAATCTGATTTTTTCTGAATTCTACATCCCCAAAGGTACAAATGCACCAAGATTCAAATGTCTAACTTCTCCAGAACATAGACAGAATCAGCCTCAGTCAGTCACTCAGTCACGATCGTCTAAATATTGATACCAAGGAGTTTGTTTGCCCTTCCGGTAAACAAATTCGCTACCGTCGCGCCTTCGGCACCCCATTCCCAGGATTGTGATTCATTCAATATTTTATTTTCAAAGTCACAAAAATGTATTATAAGTATGTGGCCGTCGGAATGTACATCGAGAGAGAACAAACCGATATTTTCTTCGGAATATTTACTTCAATTGTTTCTTGTGCGCCTAACTTCTAATCTATCATAATCTGCCCTGAGGGGTCATATTTGAAAAGGAGGACATTCACTCAACAATCTAATGCGTACTTCTGCTCCAAGCTTAAATTTTCTTTAGTTCTCTCCTTCATTGAATAGGAAAAGTTTCTGGGAAATGCATATTTTGGAAAAAAATATGCCCTCAAGTGTTTTACCTAAAAAGTAACATTTCCTTACTAAAATCAGTATTCGGAGACTACGTGCATACCAAGTTTCAACCATATGATTTTGCTCTTTCTGCTGGTGCAAAAATATATATGGAGAAGCTGACACAGCCAAAAACTGTGCCCTGTAGGCATGTACCACAAAATTGGAATTTTCTTTGAACTCACCACCGCCTCAGTTATTGCTGTGCCAAGATTCACATTTCCATTTATGTAAAATTCAGTGGACAAAAAAATTATTTTCATTCATTACCCCCAAAAAATATGCCCCACCGGAATGTATATAAAACTTGACAGTTTTCCTGAACTTAACGACTAAACAGGTGCGTCCATATCGCGTTTCAGCTTTACATTCGCAGAAAAGGCTGTCAGCCATCTGGGATGCCAGACGTCAAACGGTTTGTATTACGTGTCGCTCGTTCGGGGAGCCTGCCACGCATCGCGCGTTCAGACTCTTTCGGAGCCGGCGAGCACGCAAACGAGAACTCGAAGAATTTTCGTCCCTCGCGACTCGTATCGCGATTGCTTAATAAACGATCGGGTCTGCCGGAGATTCGTTGTGGAAGAGAGGGAAACAAAAAAGGCGTAATCTTTTGATGCGTGATCATGAGATTATCCACCGAGGCTCCATGCCAGAAGACGAGAGAAAGTGCGGACACCGGTGCATGGCAGCGGGTCAACAACCAAACGCCGGCACCAAAAAAAAAAGTCCTGCACAACACCCAAATGCAAACCCGGCATTTCGACCGAAAATTTGAAGCCGTTCATTCTCGATGAGGGCGAAGTTGTAGAGGAAGAGACAATTCTTCATGCATTTCTCCTTGGATTAGGCCTGCAGTAATTAAGGATCGCTTGACACGTGATATCGAAATGGGTGTAATCTCCTCTTGATATCACTAAATACCTTGAACCGTGAAGTTTCACCTTTCTATTGATATTTCTGTCCATTTAGGTAGGACAAAGAAAAATTACTTTAAAACGTCGCCTCCCCTCACAAATTTCTGGGGGGGGGGGGGCTCCCCCAGAAATTTGCACCCGCGGCATACATCTGAAACTTAACGTTTTTCCTGTTCTAAAGGTCTCAGTAGCCACGTCCATGGCAAGTTTCAACCTTCCCTTGCTCTCCGTTCGACTAGAGGAAATATATCTCTTTGAAAATGTCTTACCCGAAATGGGTGCTCCCCCCGGGAATTTACCTCAAAACTCGGATTTTTTCTTAACTCTGCATCCCCAAAGGTACAAATGCACCAAGATTCAAATGTCTAACTTCTCCAGAACATGGACAGAATTAGCGTCAGTCAGTCACACAGTCACGATCTTCTAAATATTGATCCTAACGAGTATGTTTGCCCTTCGGGTAAACAAATTCGTTACAGTCGCGCCTTCGGCACCCCATTCCCAGGATAGTGATTCATTCAATATTTTATTTTCAAAGTGAGAAAAATGTATTACGAGTATGTGGCTGTTGGAATGTGCATCGAGAGAGAACAAACCGATATTTTCCTCAGAATATTTACTTACATTGTTTCTTGTGCGCCTAACATCTAATCTCTTCTTTATCTGCCCTGAGGAGTCATATTAGAAAATAAGCACATGCACTTAGCAATCTATTGTGTGCTTCTGCTCCAAGCTTAAATTTTCTTTAGTTCTCTCCTTCGTTGAATATGAAACGTTTCTGGGAAATGCACATCTTAGAAAAGATATGCTCTCAAGGGTTTTACCTAAAAATAAAGTTTACTAAAATCAGTATTCGGAGACTTCGTGTATACCAAGTTTCAACCATATACATTTGCGGTTTTTGCTGGTGCAAAAATATATATGGAAAAGCTGACACAGCCAAAAACTGTGCCCTGTATATATGTACCACAAAACTGGAATTTTCTTTGAACTTACCATCGCCTCAGTTATAGCTGTGCCAAGATTCACATTTCTATCTCTGTCAAATTCAGTAGACAAAAATGTTATTTGCAATCGTCACCGCCAAAAAAATATGCCCCCAGCGCATGTATACAAAATTTGACACTTTTCGAAAAATTATAGACTCAGCAGGTGCGCCCTTATCGCGTTTCAGCTTTACATTTTTATCAATTTCACTGAAGCAAAAAATATTACGGATGACCTCTCCCCTGAAATTAGTGCCCCAAGGGTATTTAATAAGGAACGGGCTTTAAAGCGATTACCTGGTAGGGCAGTGGCCTGCTTCCCACCAAGGCGCATTATATAAAATTTTATATATATGTATATATCAAGTTTCACCTCTCACGATCTCCGGTCTGAACTAAAAAAAAATTATTAGAAAACGTCTCCCACGAAGGTACGTATGTTCCGAGGCCATGCTCCTGAAACTTGACATTTATTTATGAACTGAGTGTCTCAGCAGGCACGTACATGCCGAATATCAGCTTTTCAAAGCTCTCCGTTATACATCATTAAGAACAACCCCCCCATATTGGGTGCCCCAGGGAATGTAACTCCAAAGTCGATTTTTTTCTGATCTCTTCATCCCAAAAGATACATTTGGGTACCAAGTTTCAGATATGTAACTCTTCTAGAGCATCCTAATAATCAGCATCAGAAGACACTCAGGCACGATCGTCTATATATATTAGATACCTT